CTGGCACCCAGGTAGCTGTGACACCTTGTCAGTGCTAGCTTCCCAGGAACCCTCTTTAGCAACCAGGGTCTTAAAGGGGAAAACATTTTTAAAGCCACTCCCTGACACCCAACAGAGCAGCTGGAGCAGAGGACCAGTCTCCATTACATCCCATCCCTATTCACTGTCACTCTGCAAGTCATCCTGGTCACCTGCCACTGCCATGGGGTACCACAGGGGCCACAGGAGCTGTGGTGTGTGTCACATGGAGATGACTCATCCTGTTCATCACCTGTGGCAATGCCCCAGCAGCTGGTGGCACCAGGATCACCTCTCAGTAGGCACGGACCAAGGCCCTCTCCCACCCACCCAAATTGCTCCGACGGAAAGCACAGGGCTGGCTGCACGGCACTGCTGCTGCAAGGTGGGTGCAACGGCCAGGCACCTCCTGCAGCCAGGGACTCCCTGCCTGCCCCTCACAGCACCCATGGGCTGCTTGGCATGGGACAGCACAGGGGAAAAGATGATCCTTGTCCCTCAGGGTGAAGGCTGAGGAAAGTGGCTGGGCTCCATGACAGCCAGGGGATTGTCAGCAACTATGCTCAACCCACTAGGAGCCTCGAACCAGGGCTTCAGGATAGCATGCCTGCTTGCAACTGAGAAGGCTGTGTTGGTGGCGGGCAAGTGTTTGGGGAGAGCTCATCCCTGCTCTGGGGAAGGATGAAGTCCCTCCTTTGACCTTGAAGTATTTGACTACTGAAATATTTCAGTCAGGACTTCCAAAACCAGGCAGCTTCAGCCTAGAGATTCAGAACAGAACAGATTTCAGAATACTGATTTCAGAACTGGTCAACATGTGGTGAGCAATAGTATTGTGCATCACTTATTTTTTTTGTTTGTGTTTTTTTCATTATTATTTTTATCGTTGGGGCCCCTGGTGGTCTAGTGGTTAGGGTGCAGGACTCTCACCGCTGCGACCCGGGTTCGATTCCCAGCCCCCTGGGCAGATGGAGCTCGTCAGCCCTGTAAGGCAATCCATCTAAGAGAAGGTCACTCTAAACAAACCTACGTCCTGAGACCCTCACTGCCACTGTCCAAGCTTGCTCGGCCCCGGCAGATGAACCTCAGGATTAAAGGGTGGGCTCAGTTCAGCACACGCTGGGTCTCACCTAAAAAAAAAAAATCCACTGCGCAGGCTCGAAGGGTTAATGACCTTTCCCAAATCTTCGCTCCCGAAGACTGGCCATATTATTATTATTATCATATTATAAATTTTTATCGTTATTACTATTTATTGATTAGTCGCAGTTATATTTTAATATCATTATTATATTTTACTTTGTTTCGAGTATTAAACTGTTCTTATCTCAACTCATGAGTTGCCTCCCTGCCTCCCTGACTTGCTCCCTCGAAAACGCATGGCCATCCAAATCTGTGGAAGGGCACTCGCTCCCCTTCGCATACCTCTGGCACTTCCAGGGTAGAAAGCAGTTCTGCATGTCTACTCTGCCCTCCTCCCTGCCTCTCCCCAGTGCTGGAGCCCATGTTTCCCTGGGCTAGGCATGTCAGGTGGCTCACACGTGGGATGCCCTGCTGGCTGTCTCTGCGTGCTGGGGCACGCTCTGCCCACAAGCAATGGCAGTGCTGTTGAAAATCCTCCTGGCAAGGAACTGCATGTATCAGCTCCTGGTTTAGTCACTTCAAAACAATCTGGTTAGTAAGAGGGAGAGTAGGAAGAAAGACTGTACCCCAGGCAGAGATTGCACATGGAAATACCAATGAGATGACACTGTTCTCTGAGAATTATTGGAACAACTGGAGGAATAATAAAACATTGCAGTTTCCATCCACACGACTGTATCCCACAAAGGCAGGGATCTTACTGGAAGTCACATCTGATTAGTATCTCTCTGGCCTGGATCTGTTCTAATGCTGAGGAGAGACAGGCTGAACCCTGCCCACTAAAAAAAAAAGGAAAATGCATGAAGGAGAGTGCAGGAGAGGCAGTTGCTGAAGCCAGGTGGGCAGCAGGCAGCCCAGCTCCAGCAGCAAGGGGCCACCTGTGCCCACCTCCTCTTCCCCCTGCCCGGGGCATGGTCTGAGTGAGCACTGCATGCTGCTGACTCTCTGGCTGCAGCTAGTGTTGCTGCTCTCCTAGGGAAAAACTGATCAAAAGATCAATGATTCAGTCAGGTTCTCGTGTTTTGGGATATCAAAGGCAATTGTTAGCTGCACCCTGAAGAGCAACTGATTTCTTACGCTGTTCTGGGGCAAGTGGCGTACGCAGGTAGAAATCTCACCTGATTTACTGCAAGAGTTGTCCTGTAAGTGAGTACTGGCTGGTTAGGAAACTCTTCTCTGACTGAATGGAAGCCAAAAAATTCAGTAAAGCCTTGTTTCCAGCCACATTTTTTGGATCAGTAGCCAGAAAACCCCAGCACACCAGGAAAAAAAAACACTGAAAAACAAAACATAAGATAGCTTTTGAGGTTCTCCTTTGCATTGGTATGCTCAGAGGGAGAAAGGAAGGTTTTGCTCTCTATCTGACAGTTGGGTTGGTGTGGAGTCTCTGGAAAGCACACATTTTTTAATTTACACAATTAGAAAAAGAAAGAAATCTCTGTTTAATGCCCAGACAAGAGGTGCTGGTACTAAGCCTCATTTTGAGGAAAAAAAACATGGCAAAATTCAAGAGAGAGATGCATGAAAAGGAGGCAATATGAACAAGTCAGAAAAGCTAAATTATATCCCATTCTATCCTGATGGCCTGACAAGTTGCTTCCCCCCTCTAATCTTCATCTTTTTTCCATTCTGTCTCCATGCAGCTTTAGGGGGACAACATTTGGGCCAGGATAGCCATGAGCTGTGTGTCCAATGCTCCCCCCAAAGTGACTGCAGCCAACATGTTGCCATGGAGCAACATGGATGATATTCAAGCCTCTGCAAGAGGGGTCCAGAGGAGTGGGGTGCTGAATGCAGGCTGCAGCTGTCAACTCCTCCCTGCAATGCCATAGTATCTTGCAAGACTGTCAAATGCACATCACAACAACTGTACTTCTTCCCCGTCAGGAAAAATTCTCTGTGATAGGCCTGGATGCACTCTGCATTTTGTTTCTATTTAATCTAATTCTGCTGACAAAGGGACATCCTCCGGGGACAAGATCACTTCATACCAGGTGAGGTATAAACTCCAGCAGTACTTTGACTCTCTCCCAGGAGGAGAAATGGGGCCTAAAAAAATTCAGAAAAGATCAGGAAAGCATTAGCATGTGCCAGGCACATGTGGGTAGATTCATGGTGTGACTTTCACGCTGTCACCACTTCAGGACTCTCAGCACCTCTGAAGACACTTCAGTGATGTGTCTCAGCCTGAAACATGTCACTGCCAGTGCTCCCAGTGCAAATCTGGGCTGGGTTCATAGGCTAAGGGAAAAGGGTTTTTCCACATTAAAGACTTTCTTTCTGTTGACAGTAATAAACAAGGGAAGAGAGGAGCCCATCCTGTTCCTGTAGGCCAGGTTACTCACATTTTGCAATGCTCGGGGCACATGCATGGAAAAAAAAAAAAGACAGCATACAAACATAGGAAAATGTTTCTGGGCAGAGTATTTTCCCATCTATCCTGATTCTAAGGTTAGCCAAGAGCAGATGCCAGAGCACAGCATGGGCATGGGGTAGATAAGTAGCAATATCCACTGGAGCTCCCCCAAGCACGTGACAGTATGCAGTTCAGGACTTCTACCTGGATTTTCCCACACTGGGTTTGAAATCCAGGGCTGACCCCTGCTGCAGGGGTCTGCTCCAGCCTCCTTGAATGCACCCTGATGTCCCCCAGCCATGGCTGCTGGAGCCATCCTGTTGGACACATCTTCCAACCTGCCTGTCCGCACCCATTGCTAACCATGTTCCTGTTGCTTAACACCTGTGATAAACAGGACGTAATTCCTTGGCCAGGTGCCTGCCCAGGGCATGCAGGATCGAGTCTTCTCCAAAAGACTTCCCTTCACTTGCTTTATCAGGCAGTGAAGCTATCCCTGTAGCAAAAGCACTCGTTTCATAAATGTCATCCTGCCAGGAAAATTGGCACAGGTCTGCCTGCCCTTCGGCACAGATGTCTTTGCAATCCCCTTGTCTTGGCCCATGTTTTCCCCAACATTAAAAATCTCTTTGGGATGGTTTTGGCTCATTGCTAAACATATGGCAGGTTTCTTGTGTTTGTCCAGCCACTTCTCCCCAGGGGCAGGGTTCCCTGGCCCTGGCTCCAGTCAGCTCCACAGCTTTTTGCATCCTGTGCCAGTTTGCATTTTGCTCTGGCAGATAATCTCAGCCATGGCAACTCATACTCAATTTTTCATGAGCCCTTTCTCCAGCCTCTCTGATTTTCCAGCATCTTCTTCCAGCTGTCTATAAGCTGAGAGAAAATCAGCCCCTCCCCACTGCACCCCACCCGACAAGCTGCCTCTTTTTAAGATGCTGTCTAATGCTTCCAGACCACCCCAGTGGGAACTGCGGCTCCGGGGCACTTTAACCGAGGAGAGTATTGGTCTTTGGCAGAAGAGGATGCTCTACCGTCCTCCCCATTCCCAGCCAGGCTCCTGTCCCATGCCTCTGGAGGGCACTTGGGCTGCAGCAGCAGGTCAGATCCAGAGCCAGTCCTGCCCCTACACCCAGCCTGGCGGGATCACACGGCTGACCAAAGTGACAGCAGAGTCAGGAATGTTAAACCTGGACACATCATTTGCAAGAGACTGAAGTGAGATCAGAAGCCAGCCCTGCAAAGGAGTGAGCGCCACCGTACTCCATCAGCAAAGCCAGGAGCGGGGCTCCCCGCGGCGGGGGAGCGGGACCCATCCCGGCCGAGGAGGACAGGGAGTGCAGATGAACGAACAGCTCAGCGCAGTTTCCGCCGCACCCCGCCTTCACCCTTCCTGTACCCCTGCAGGAAACAGCCGCAGCAGCCCTCGCCCGGGGCCCGTAGGACGGTGTCCATCAGCCCGGAGAGTGGCGGGACGAGCCCCGACGGCTGCCGGTGACACCCGTCCGAGAGCCCCGCAGCGCGTACAACCATGCGTTGAGCCCTGCCAAGGAGAGTGGATGCCAAACCTGAATTACCAGCCCAGAGAGTGGCTGTGGATCCCGGGAGCTCCTGTGATTTGCGGCAGGTTTTTCAGGTCCCCGCCTGTCACACACACACGCAGATACTTAAGCAGTCACCCAAGGACCTGCGGGGTTCTTGTTTTACACACTTCTGGTCCCTGCCAGCTCCAGGTAAGCACATGTTTTGAGCTAGGGGTGCTGGAGTGGATTTGCTGTTGGGGATGGGGAGGTGGGCGATGAAGGGAGGAGCTGCCCTGTGAGTATTGGTGCTGCGAAGGTTGGAGCTGCACCCAGCCGGTCTGAGTGAGAAAGCTTCATGCCCGGGGCAGGGCAAGGGGCGCACAGGCAGGCAGAGACCCCAGGCGGGAGCTACCACGGGGACCTGCCTCTGCTGCAGCAGCTGCTGTGCTGTTTGCTTTGTTCGCATCCGATATTATCTTCTAAAAGGCTCAACGGGTGGTTTACCGGATGCATGACAGGTGGTTTTTCCTTATTTATGGCAGGGTCCGGTTTATTTTTAAAGCCTGTGTCCCACCTTATCCTGTGCACCATGCTGGCTGATGTTATCCACAGCCACCCCACAGCAAGAGGCCAAGCAAAGCTCAGGACAAGACGTGGCTCTGCAGCAGAGCAAGGCAGGGTTAGAGGGCTTGTTTGCATTGAGAACTGCTATTCTGATCTCTGCAGTAGCAGGAAATAGCTGCAGGCTAAAATCAGATGCAGATGCCTCCAGTTGCATCCCAGCCCTGACACTGGGAGCACTGGGGAAGGGGACAAGAAACCAAACAGGGGCTATGGGGGCCCCATCACCTTGGCAGGAGCTACTGCTCAGAGAGATTTCCAGGGGCTTTGGGTGCAGTAAATTGTTAGAAAGTTACACAGCCAACCAGCTATTGTGACTACTGTTCAAAAAAACAAAGCTGAGCAAACAGAGATCGTGTCTTTTCTGGAAAAGCAGCAGATTTCTGCCAGGATAATAAATGCTGACTGCATTAGCAGTGCTGAACAAGCATGCTGGGAGACAGAGGGATGTCCTCTCCCATTTCAGGCCAGAGCTAGGAGTCCTGCTAGTAACTCAGGGTATTTCTGAGGAGCTGGATGCAACCACAGGACATGGGTAGTACAATATCTATCTATCTATCTACCTAGTAAGATTTTCTCTTGCTGCAACTTGTGTCCATCGGCCATTACCTTTTGTCTGCTCACTCCAAAATGGCTCTGGAGGTCCACTTCAATGCCCTATCAGCCACACTAAGAGCACCAGGTGCTGTCATGTACACAGCAAGGCTGGCTGGAGCCGCCCACAGCACAGGCAACCGTTGAACCCCTTGCAAGCTTCTGCTCTTACACTGCTCCACCTAAAACCAAGATAGTCAGAGCCAAGTGTGAATTCCCCAGGGGTTTTTAGCTTGACTTAGGACAGAGCAGGTGTCACCAAAGCTGTGGTGGTTTCACTGTGACAGTGCATCTGGCATTGTCATTTCTGTCTGTGTGAGTAAACCCCTGACACAAAGCTCTCAGGGGACTGTTCACAGAGCTGAATGACAACTGCAGCCCCACAGCCTTTCTGAAAGCCAAATAGATGGTTAACATCCTTTGCACTGAAAAAACCATTTTTTTCCAATGCCTTCAAAACTTTAGGGAGAAAAAAGCAGTAAGCAGCGGTGATTTTCAGCAGCTGAGCCAAACAGCTATGAGTCTCCATCTTTCTGCCAGGCTTAAAGAAGCGTAAGCAAGACATTTGTACCTTTCCTGTACAGGGGAGAGGTCCTAGGCAGCCTGAAGGCCAGGCTGCAGGCCTGGGCTTAAATAAGCCTCCATTTAAATAGAAGGCAGGTGAGAAGTGGTCCAGGTAGGGCCAATCAGGGCATTTTAGGCATTCCTGGTGCCTTCAAGTTGTGTCGTATACACCAATTTTTAGCACGCAAGAGGTGCTAAATGCTGGATGCTGCATGTTGCACAGGGGCCACATGGCTCCTGAAAGCCTCCAGGACTTAGTGGAGTGATGTGGGGAGACCTGTAGAGCCCTCAAGGAGCCCCAGGGTTTTGGCCTTTTCCTGAAAGCCATCTCACAGCCTTGAGAGGTAGGAACTGTTGTCCTTCCAGAGCAGGGTTAGAGAGGAGACAAGGAAAAGCCATTGGGCATCACATTATGCATGCTGGAGCACCCTGGGCTGCCAGCAGGTAGAAGACACTGTGTCTTATGGGGAAATGCCTCAGGAACTTGGAGATAAACAGAAACAGCTGTGCAGGTGAAACATGAAAGTTGAGGCACATGCTCCCTATGCAAATCAATGCATTCACATTAACGTATATTAATGCAGCAGGCGGCAAACAATGATTAATGAATCGCCAAGACATGTTGCTGCTGGTGGCACAAGCCACAAGCTGGTGGTACAAGCTCTGGATTTATGATCCAGAGGTGATGAGGAGCCCTGTGGTAGCTGCGCTTTCTAGGAGAAGGGCAGGTGGCTCAGTAGAGTGCTGATCAAGGAGGAGAGGCAGGACTTGTGGCTTAAGCTTGGCCTCATCTGCACTTGGACCTCATGGAGAGCCTGGCAGCCATGGTGCTGGAGAGCAGCACCTGAAGTCCAGGGGACCTCCTTCTCCCCCTGCATCTTTTCCAGAGGTCTCCAAATGCCCAAAGTAGGTGAGCAGCATTCAGCAGACCCCCGCTACCTCACATGCCTGAGGAACTGAATTTTGGCTGCTCCCTTCCTATTTGGATGCCTCTGAACTGAGCTGACCCCAAGAAAGCCCAGGCAGCTGCAACTCTCCGTAGACAAGGCCAGCTCGGCTTGCAGTACCTGGGGTTAAAGCCGGGCTTTCACCAGTCCATCCAGGGCTAGTCTACCAGCACTCCATCACACTCAGAGGTGCTGCAACCTTTCGCAACCGCTATGTTACAATCAGTATTTATCGAATGACTCAAGCAGAGTGGGCTGTTTCACAACCAGCCCTGGTCTATTTATAAGCCCCTACTCAAATGCCAAAGGATTCTTTTGTTAGTCAAAGTAGCTTCTGCAGACTAGGTTCAGGAGGGCCTTTGCTTTATGAGGTAAAGCTCAAAGAAGAGGATCTCTCCAGACTCTCATGAACAGCAGAGCTGGCTCTTTGAAAGCTGCAAAACAGTCTTGAAGCTGAGCTCCATCCTAGCAGTTCTGTCAGCAAGTGAAAGCCCTGGGGCATTCAGTATCCCAGGGTACCCAGGTAAGTTATCAGTCAGCCAAGAAAGTGCTTGGGTTTAAAGCTATTCAGTATGGGTGCAGCATGATGGAGGTGCCTGGGTTACATCCCAGAGCCAAAGGAAAGGAGAAGCTGGAGTGCAGTGTGGAGGCAGGGCAAGTCTGCAGTGGATGGCCCAGAGGAGTCTCAAGGTGGCCCAAGGGCTCCTGGCAGCACTGGAGAGCCAGCAATACCAACCAGCCCACCTGACAGAGATGGGCCAGGCAACTTGGACAGCAGGAGAGCAGATCAAGAAAGGCCACATTTTTGCATCCAGCTCCTCCCCCACCAACACCCCACAGCCTGGTTTCGAAAACACCAAAATGATTCAGCATCAAGGGACTTCTGCATGCTTTGTGGGGGCAACGCCTTGTGTCTTAGTTAACTGAACTGGCAAGCTCGACCCTCTGCCACACAGGAGCAAACCTGAAGCCCAGCAGAAGAGATGTGGGGGACTTACTTGTTTTGCTTGTGCTTTTGGGCTAAGCCTTCCAGAGATTTATGCAAAGCACAAGTGGGACAAATGTTACTCTGGAGGGTAATATGGGCTTCTTGTTTCTGCCATTGCTGGGAACACCTAGCACTGACCACAGCCAAAGGCAGTGAGTGCCTGGGCAACAGATATGCATGGGGTGCAGTCCTCTGAGGACTGACCCTTCACTTATACACCAAAACCCAAACAAATAGTTCTGTGATGCTCAGGAGTAGTAGGACTAACTGTTTATGCCCACGCATGATAACATTAAATATTAATAAAAACAAAGCAGCTCACCCACTCATCACCAGCTTTGTGTGATGTCTGGCCATGCTGCTAAGAGAACCAGGACATGATCAGGAGGGGAAATAGGGTGATTGCTGCATCAAAGACCATGCTCCCAAAAGATTCTGCATTCTCTGTTTTGTGATTCCCTTGCACAAACTTTCCTGATCACTGGAAAGTAAGGAAAAAAAAAACCCAACCCCTTAGGCTGGATGCCAGATATTGTCCCTTCACCCAGAGGATAAATAATGTTTTTTAACTAATGTCTTTAAATTACCCCCCTGAACATTCCCATTGCTGTGACATCACTCCTAAGTGACGCCCAGGCCTAAATACGGCTGTAAACAGGAATCGTCCCCATGGGAGTCACGCTGGCTATAAATACAGCACCAGGAGAGCGCTGAGCAGCCTGCAGTTTCCTGCCAGCTAAGAATGGTGAGACAGCTCAGCTGGGCACTGTTAGCGTGCGGTTGCCGTAGTAAGGAAACTGAGGCAGGAGCTGCTGGGAGGCTGAGGGGTTGGCACTCCCAGCTGAGCTCTGTGGCATGTCTTTGGGAAGGGAGTTGTGGCATGTCTTTGGGAAGGGAGTTGTGGCATGTCTTTGGGAAGGGAGTTGTGCCCTGCCACAGCCAGAGGCCACTGTGGAGGGGGGAGCTGGTGGGGACAGGGATGGCAAATCTGGGGCTCAGCAAATGTGGCCCCACTGACCACTTCCAGCTGGAGCAATGACACTGGCCCCTCTCTGCAGTGCCTAGCCCCATAGCCCTGCCCCAGGAGAAGATGGCCACGGAAAAGCCAGTGACTCCCACTGAGGAGCAGCTGGAGATCCTGGAGTACAACTTCTGCAAGGTGAACAAGCATCCTGACCCCACTACGCTGTGCCTCATCGCAGCTGAGACTGGACTCTCCGAGGAGCAGACCCTGGTGAGTGTATGCCCCCCCACCCCTCCCCTGGCTCCAGCCCTGCATGCCCTGCATGCCTCTGTGCCCCATACACTCTCCCCACATCTGCTGCCTGTCCTGTCCTGGTCTCTCCATTAGACATCTCTATCTGTCTGTCCCCTCACAGGCTTTCTACAGCAGCCCCTACACCTCTCATGCTCCCCCCAACGTGCTCTGCACTCCTCTGTGTCCCATGTGCATATTGCTCACTGCACCCCATGCTGCACCCACAATCTCCTCTGCACCTCTGTAACCCCCAGCACACCCCTAGCCCCACACTGCACCCACAAAGCTCTACTGCAACACAGCACATCCCTGTAACCCACATGCTCCCTGCACCCTGTATGTTCCTGCCCCGAATATACAATCCATGCATGCTGTTCTTCCAACCCATTTCTGATAGTCTTGGTTACCCAAACCACTGCTGACTTCATGGTCTGAAGAAACTACAGTCATTTAAAAACAGATACCGGATAGATGCAACACCTGCAGGATGTGCTGTGGGACACGCTCAGGCTGGGCACACTCCCTCTCACTGCAATTAGATACCCCAGAGTCCCCAAGCCCGGATGTCAGGCAAATCTGTGAGCCTTTCCAGGAGACACAGAGGCCTCCAAATAACCCTTCACAGGGACAGGTTGCCACTGTCTGGGAATTCCACCAAGCCCTGTGCTCCATCTGCCTACCTGCAGGCTACCCACAGGCTTCAGAAGCAAACGGCTCCTTCCCAATTCCTTCAGATTGCGGTGCAGCTCATTTTGATGCAGGTGTTTTATAAGCTACTAGACTCATAGCAGCATTGATGGGTATAGAAAAGAAATCCAACACACTGGAAAGTTAGCAGCAGTTTGCAGAGAGCTGCCAAGCCTGGCTTTCCCTCAGCAAAGCCAAAAGGATATAAGAGCAAGCAAGCAGTGTTAGCATTTAGCCTGTCCCAGGGAAGGATGCTGGTACAGCATCCATTACACTGATAGTCCTTGGCTGGAGCGGAAAAGGGGACCCCTCCTCTACTGTGCTTTGGTGACAGGCAGGTATCACTGCTTATTTGAGGCAGCAAGGAGGCAGTACCCCTAAAATACCTTTTTCTCCTTAGAAATGGCACTGTTCCATTTTTTTTTTTCCTAAAGCAAGTTGTAAAAGCAGGTCATATATGTTTGAAGATATGCCCACATATCTTAAAATCTTCCCTGATAGCTCTCCTTTTCCACAAGTTGAGGGTGCTCCTAGAGATCAGGAGATGAAGGTCACATTAGGGACAGGATCAAGATTGGGATGGTGAGCTGCAAAGTGCCTGCACTGCGCATAACACAGAGAACCATTGCTCCTGACATCTGGAGTGCTTTATCAGCTAGAAATAGCAGCCATTTTAATAAAAAATTCAGTAAAAATGAGGTGCAAAGAGGTACCGAGTCAACCGGAGATGATGGTTTAGGACAGAAAGTGAAATTTTTGGGAGGAAGCTAGGCTGTCGATCATCTGACTGGATGTGATCCAAGGCAGTGTGAGTGCAAGAGACACTTGTACAGAGCACTGTGGTTGTATCATTATGGACCATAATAGCTTCAAAAATAGTCATGAACAAATATAGCAACAAGATGAGCTGCGACAAAAGGAATCACAGGCACATTGCCAAACAAAAGGCTGAGCTGTGCTTCCGGCACATGAGTTATATCTCTTTTCTTACTTTTCTTCTTAGGTAGTGTGGCTTTAACCAGATGCATTTTATCTAATATTTTAAATTGTGGCTGTGCTGAAATGGCATCAGCAGCTCTTGAAGTTGGCTTACAAATGCTAAGTTACTAAAGAAGAACATAGACATGCATATTGCTTGAAGACTAAGATAATTTTTAAACAATTTTTAAAATCTATTTGTTCTTAAATTTGTTGAGAGCCACTGTGCTGTCCCTCTCATCCTTTCTGAAGCAGTTCAACTTTTGATTCCTGTCAGTTTTGAAAGTGATTGTTTCACTGCTCCAATCATTTAAACAGACATCATCCAGCTCCTTAGCCAATCTCTTATTCTGTTTGCAAGAAAACCCTGGACTCACAGCAATAAAACAAGAAGTCAGCCATGCTGTCAAAGTCTGAAGTGAGCAAGAGAAATGAGTTTGAAAGAGGTGCACATGTAGTTTAACAAGACCGTTTGGTCAGGAGCGACTGTCCGTACTGCCTGGGAACAGTACAGTGCCTTGCTACAAGAAGCAGTACCATAAGTTTCCCTTGCCTGGTACCATGTGCTGACCACATCTGCACCTTTAGCAAAGTTATTTGGAGGGTTCACTCAGCCCAGTGCACTCAACCCCTGCTCTGTTCTTTCTCTCCAGAAATGGTTCAAGCAGCGCCTGGCAGAGTGGAGGAAGTCTGAAGGGCTGCCCTCAGAAAGCGGGTCTGTCAGGGACTAGAGGATGTTGCTCTGATCTCCATGCCTCCTATAAATGATAATGAAGCTCTTCAGAGTGGGTTTTGCTGGGGTTCTTCTGTTGCAATAGGTTTTGCGATACAAAGTAATACTCTGCTATTTAACGTAAGTTTTATTTAACATGTACATAACCAAAAAAAAGAACATTATATATATATATATATATATGTATGTATGTGTGTGTATACAGCTTTTGATGGCTGGTAACCTGTCTAGTGATTCCAACCCATTAACACCAGCTGCACAGGACAAGGCAATCTCATGCTCTTGTCCCAGGCTTGCAGAAAAGTTGCCATGAAACATGTTCAAATATAGAAGGAGGAAATAAAGATTCATTTTCCTTACAATCCCCAGAGGCAAAATATGTGTACTAGCTTTAAGGTAGAGATAATCCAGAGAGCAGGGCACCTAGGAAACCAGATGTGTTTTTCAGGTGACCTTCTTTAGCTCAAGATGCCAGAGTCAGCTCTGGATCTTGGCAAACCAAGTGCCTACACCATAATCAGACCAAGCCAAGCCCTCCTTGAATGCCTTTTTAACCTTTCTGTTAAAGGTCAACAAAGAGAAGGAACTAGTAGGTTGAGGGTTTTTTCCCCCCAATGCAATAATAAAAAAACCAATGTTTTTTGATGAGAGGAGCTGTGTTATGTCCCTGCTTGTGTTCCCTGCCCTAATGGTAGGAGGCAGACTCCTTCCTCTGGGAGGGCAACATTTCTCCAAGATGGCCTCAGTGGCCACCGTGGGTTTTCCCTCTTGCCACAGGGACAGCCCACAGACATGGGCAACCTCATCTTCTAGGACGCCCATGGGTCCCTGCACAGCAGCCCATACAACCCCATGCACACCAGGTGCTGCTGGGGTTCTCCCACAGGGTGAGGGGTGTAGGGGGCAGACTCCAGCCTCCTCTTGGCCATTCTCAGGCCTGAGGAATGCAGTTGTGCTGGGGCTCTTGCACAAAACCCAAACTCATCCATCCTCCTACAGGACAACACATGGTCTAAAAATAACCAGCACCATTTCCCAGTGACCTTACCTTGTTCAAGAGGGTTCAAAAGTCCTCTGCTTAGTGGATTACTGAATTGATTAATGGATCCTCTGATTAATCCCCTTCTGGTTTGTGGTCACCTGCCTCTACTTCTTTGGAAGGAGAATCAGCTTAACACAGGAAAGATTAAAATACATTGACTCTGAAACTGCCACATTCTTTCATTTGTGGCTTTTGTCCCTTACTGGTGAGCATCTCTCTTGCCTCAGTATCTCCAGCCCATTGCCAGTGGTTGGGCTGCCAGGGCAAAGCACACCAAACTTGTAGGAAACAGATAAAAGCACTCTCCCTATGCCATGTCCTGCAAAGGCTATGTTGTTCCCCTGCAATCCAGCTGCCAAACTGACTCGCTCTCAGACCCGACTGGAGCTCAGAATTGGTTCTGCAGAGTCTGGCATCAATATCTGTTTTCTTCTTAGCCTTTGCAATGTGCTTTCTCTCTTACACTGAGGGGAACTCTGCTTTTTTGAGCTAGGCTCCAAAAATCCCAATGCAGAGCTCCTTTATTTTGCCCAGGGTGACACAACTGAGTATCTGAACTGCACAGATTTTACCCAGGTGCATAATATGTATCAAAGATGCATGCAACGGAAAAGGCTGGATCTGCCTGTTCTTCAGGCGTTTGAGAAAACAGGCCCCAAATCCAAGCCAACTCAACATTCATTGCAGCCTTTTGTGTCTCTACTTCTGTCACAAGCACAAAACTTTGTGTCAGCAAGAAGTTCTTTAAACTTTAGCAAAAATTTTTAAACCCAAGTTCAGGAGTTGTGTTGCATCACCCTACTGCATGCTGTTGCGTTTGGTTTGCCACACTTTCTTGTGTGAAGGAACAGGTCCTGTGCTGCCTTCCCCCAGCAGTTGTTTCATTACTTCTTTAACTATTACAGCAAAACAATAAGGAGAGAAACTGCAGATATAACCCATCCTAGGGAGAGAGGCTTCCCACATTAGGTCAAATTCTGTTCATTTCCCCTGGTGACTATTCTTAAGGAGTGACCATTTTATTTGAATTCCCAGAAAGTGTTCCTGCTGAGTGCTGCCTCTGCGCTGTGTTCAAGTAGATTTTCTACCCACAGCACATCCCAGAGAGAGTGATGTTCCAAGGGGTGATGGGGGCAGCTGGCAGGTGCATTTCTGAGGGAGCTTAGCGTTGAACTGGGCGAGCTAGTTCTCGGATCCGATCAGAACAAGTTGCCTTCATAGCAGTCTCCTTCACTCTGAATGCATCTAGGTTGAATTGAGCCAAGCCCATAGGAGGCCTGGGGGAGAGAGAGTAGGGATGGTCAGTCCGGACTAGAGCAGGGCCAGCTGCCAGCTGCCTGCCAGCTGACACACCTCCACCTGCGCCCTGCCCCTCCCTGTCAAGGGAGGACAAAAGGAGTCATGCCTCCACTGCTGTCACCACCAGAGGGACTGTCTGGCAGTCACTACAGCCAGGCATTCCCCCACCCTCTGTGAAACATCCTATCCAGCACTTCCTGCAGGCTGGGCTGAGGTCAGCTGCATCATGCTGGGCAACATGAATGTGCTACATTGTGCCCTGTGCCAGTTGGGTGATTTTTATGATAGTAATTAATAAGTCCCAACCAGTAATTCCTGCTGGAATTAGAAAGTTCCTATTTCTTCTCTTTTGACTCTCCTTCCACCTCAAAATTGCACAACCCATGTAGCATTATCACATCCAGACATAGAAAATCCATGCATTTTGGAAGTGGAAGAACAGTGGCTTAATCTCACTGGCCAAACACAAATCAACAAGATGCTATGGCCTGCAGAAAATGGGCTGGCAGCTGATAATTTCCCCATGACAGGGAAGCAGCACCTACCTTTTGCCAGGCTGGGCCAGTTCCACAATCCTTGGTGTAGCCACTGCACGCTTGGCAGCCTCTGACACTGGCCACTGAGGATCCCGTGGGGCCGCGTACTTAGAATGCACTTTCTTTGGCCTAGCCAGCTCAATGGTCCGAGGGCTCGCAACTGCCTGCTGAGCTGACTTGGAAACCTGTGGAAGAATTAGGAGGAAGGTCCTTAGAGGTGCTCTTGGCATTCGAGGGTGGTCAGCCTCCAGTAACTCAGTGTACCCAGGTTCACAGCCACTGACTACAAGCAGACAGGACACAATCCTGTCCTCAGACATGTTTGGCACCAGACAAACTGTAGAAGCAGAAATCACTGCTTGGCCATTCCCACAACCTGCCCTCCAGCCTCCCCTTACCCACAGCCCTTTGTCCAACCCACCCCGCAGCACTGGAGATCCTGGTTAGACACTTGTCTCCCTCTCCCCACCCCCACAACTGCAGGCTAGGCTCAGCTCTGCCATTCCCTGGGGACATCTATGAGAGTCAGCTCATGCTCTGAATGGAAGATGAGTCCTGCTTTCCAGCTCAGGAAGCAGCTACATCAGCCTTACAGAGAGCAGCACATTCAGGGCTGCCATGAAGAGAGCCACAAGGGACTGAGCACCCGTGCCCTCTCCTCTGCCAAGTGTCCCTCCCATACAGGGTCCCGGGTGATGCTGCCTTACCGGACGAATGACAGATTCAGGATAGCTGTGCTTATAGCAGCAGGTCGCCTGCCTGACACAGGGCTCTGCCAGACGCTCTAACCGCGAGGATGCGCTGGCCAAGGTCGCAGGAGTTGGAACCTGTGTTGGCACCTGTATGGGTTCAGAATGGAGGAGGGATGTGCAGATACAGAGCTTGTCCACAGTAGCCCACAGGGACACGCTCCCTCTCCACAAGGATGAGCACCTCAGCACCCTTCCTCTGCAGACATGGTCACAAGAAGGAGCACTCTTACTTCCCCAGCACCCACTGTTCTTTTTTCACCTGAACTATAAGGTAATTTCAGTGTTATAGGGATTTGTATGTCATAGCCACTATCACTTCTTTTCCTCACTGTTGCCTACTCATAGCCAGCAGAGGAATGCCAGTAATGAGAGCATGTGTAGCCAAGTAAATTTCTCCCTATAGCAGAGAAATTTCTTTCATATTTTTCATGTTCATCTTCCTGGCTGAATCAAATGATTTCCCTGCTAAGGAGAGACACACAGATTTCAGGGTAAAAGGGCTGGTACAGTTAACTGCATTCCTATGGAAAAAGTGATTGCTGCTCCAGCATGGGACTTCTTCCCTATTTTTCACAGGGTTCCCATTGCCAAATCCTGCTCCAACGCAGCCTCTCATTTCCCAGCCCTAGAGACTGCATCCATGCAGTCTAGCCTTTGCCACAGAAATGAGTGTAACCTGAGATTGCTCCAAGCCCTTTCACCCCTGCCAAACCAATGACCCACCTAAAAGGAACAAGTTCAGAAATAAGTCTCTAAATTAGGCTTCTAGTAAAACACTGTTAAAATACACATAGTGTTTGCAATCTCATGCCCCCTATATAGAGGAGCAAAGCTGCCTAACTACAAACATGACTGTACTCCCTAAGAGCTTAACAGACCATTCCCATCAGGTTTCTCCACTTTCCCAGGCTGCTTTATCAGGGGATGCAGCCCAGATGCCTCCCTTGGCTCTCCTGCTATACTAGGCTGCTCCAGCCTGGCTGTTTTCTGTCTCTCAGCAGGGAGATTTGCAAAAACAGTATCTCACTCTGAGAAGGCAGTTTCTCTCAGTATCATAAATCCCAGCAGAACTAGACAGCTTCTCCCCTCCATAGCACACATTGGGCACATCCAGGGGCAGGATACAGGACGTAAAAACTCAGGACAGTTTGCTGCATCACTGTTCCCTCCAAATCTCACTCAACCACCTCCTCACCTCTCTGGGCGGAATGAACTCTGGATGCAGCAACTTTGGCCGGGCAAGCTTGAGGATCCGTGGGGAGGCATTATAGGTCAGTGCAGATAGTGACACGGGCCACTCGGGGGATCTGGAAGCAGAGAGTCATGGCACCGCCACTCACAGATACTCCCCCACTGTGGTTTAACCAGGCTGCAGCTGGGACGTTTAACCCTCATGTTGCTGCAGTAGAAGACAGCTTTGTTTGTGGCCATTTCCAGTGTAGAACTCATCCCATGAGAGCTTCCAGAAGTTCTAATGCCAGCAGAGACCCCGCTCTGAATTTTGCCCTCTGTTATACCCATCCTCTGTTGCTGCATTTATTAC